ACTCTCTGTCCTGAACCTACTGTCCATCAGTTTTGTTGGTTGCCCTCAAGTTCCAGTATTTTGGGAGAGAAAGAAAAATTTCTCTTTCCCAACTGCCTTCACCCCATGCATAAACTGAAAAGTCCCAGGCCTTTCCTCGTACGGAAGGTGCTCCAACTCCCTAATCGTTTTGGTCACCCTCCTCTGTACTTTTCCCAGCTCTGCAATGTCCTTGTGGAGACCAGAGCTGTACACAGTATTCCAAATGAGGCCTCACCATAGATCTATACAGGGGTGTTACAATATTGGCCATTTTAATCTCAATCCCTTTCCTAATAATCCCTAAAATAGAGTTTGTATGATCAAATAAACCCCTTATTTTTTCAGAATTCTGGCAAGGGACCATGCTGCTGAACTATAACATAAAAGCTCTTTCTTTTTAATCCTGTCGGCGGAGGCCAATTTAAAAGGCGTATCTTGAAAAATCTTCCATAATGTTAGAGGTGAGACAGGGTTTGCCAGCACCCGTTTTTGCCCAACAGGTAATGAGGAAATTATTTAGCCAACTCAGGCCTTTTTCAGATGACTCTCTTCCACATTCTTCACCACTTCCTTTCTGCTGATTTTCATGCTAGTATTATTCAGTCAACAAAGCAAGATGCTCAGACTCCAAGGTGTTCCATCCCTTCCCTCCAGGAAACTGGGCATCAAAAGTTTGGAGAACTGTTTACACATAAGCTTTAATCTGTCTGGGAGATGTTCTCCTCCATTATTTGTGCAAGGTAATAGGTGAAACTGTTATCAAACTCCATGTGAATTGGGCAGCTTTTCCATTGAAGTGCAATTTTTCATACATTATCAAACTATTGGTTAGAAGAAGACGTCTGTCGAAACGGCACTGCATTCCGGAGACTACCGTCCCGTTGTTGTCACCTTCTATCTTTATGTACCTGAATCTATAACTTGAATGTATTATTATTTTGTACTTTCATATTCATAACTTCAAGATTTTTGTTAAAGAAATATTGAGCGCACTGTGCACAGTTCTTGTGGATTTATTTTTGCATGTCTATGGACTGTGACCATAATTATTTTGGTGTACATCTGCACAGACAACATAGCAGAATTTTAGACTTACTTTATTTTACTTCATTTGTACTCTGCCCGAAATTAACCTGGTGGCAATCAGCAAATTATTCATCTCAAGTGACTTTTCTTGAGAGGAGCAACCTTCAAGTGCTTAGAATCCGGGGCTTTGTCCCAAGTTCAGTGCTTTTTTCTCTTCCTCCAGCTCTAACGCTTGCCATGTTACATATTTCTTGTGCTATGTTTTCCTCACACACAGTTATCTTTAGCAAATGAGGATCTCAGAGGAATCTCTCACCGTGCTGTGTGCAATTCCACAGAAAGAAATCTTTCGTATGCCTGCCTTATGCAAGTTTGATGTTCAGGGTTGCCCAAAAAGGCAAGAGAATCCTTCCTAAGAAAAGTAAAACCATCAGCATCAGTTTGATACTTTCCAATTCCCACAGAAAACAAGCAAAAGTATGCATTAAATAAATGTAGGACAACGTGTGTGCCGGGGGAGGGATCCAAACACCACTGCAAGCCATTCATTCCATTAAGCCAATGTAGATAAAATACATCAGTTTCGACAGTTTGTTTTATCAGTGGGTGACAGCAAACAAACTTAATAAATTTTCCACAGTGAATTACTAGCAAAAGAACTGTGCTATCAAGACTTTCTTTGGGAATTTATTGGAGCTGTCAAGATATCCATGCATGTTTCAGCAAAAAAGAAAAAGTGACAAGGATTGTGTCTTGCTTCAGCAGGTAGAAAGAGAGTACTTGAAGTTCTGAATAGTGCCCCAGAAAAAGATTATATACAAGCAGACAATCTCCCGTACCAAATGAGGTCATTTCACAGGGAAGGGAGAAGCTGTGCTTGTTTGGCAGGTTAAGGAAATATACAGAATGAATGCACATAAAAAGAAGTGATCAAAACCGATTAGGGAATGAAAAAATCCACAAGGAAAGTCAAACAGGATTCCAAATAAATTATAAATCACTGTTGAAGCTCATCACAATAAAACATTCTTACTTCATAAAATGCATTGCAATATGTTTTCCATCCTCAGAAATGTGTGATGCTGGACTTAACAGAATTGAGAGAGAAGGTCATCAAGTGAATCCAAGGAGAAGGAATGATTTGAACTCAGTTCTTTTAGGTTCAGGTCCAGCACCTGATCCAAGGGACCAAGATATCTAGTATTTTTTTTAAAAAAATATTTATCTTTGGATTTGTATCCCGCCCTCCCCGAAGGCTCAGGGCGGCTCACAAGGGGCACGAGTGCCCAAGTTAAAACATTAAAACAATACAGTAAATATAAAATACAATAAATATACTTAGCTATAAAATTCAAGATGGTGTTCTATAATTATTTATACTAGAAACAACAAACAGCAGTAATAACAATATATAACAGCGACAATATACATCCCTACAGCATTGTCCTCTGCCAGGAACATCTCGTGCCCCCCAATAGTACCCGCTCTGAAGATGGTCTATTTGCGGGAATAAAGGGGGGGGGGTAGATGGAATGATGGTCATAATGGTGGCGTAAAGATGGTTTTCTACTAGTTAGCTCATAACAGCAATAATTAAATCTGACTTTAAATATGTACTTCCTGTTATAGTTTCAGCCAGCTCATCTACCCTCAACACTCTGGAAATTAATCTTCATACTGATCAAGGGGTAATCTCAAACACTGGCACTACAAAATGAATCAGCCTAAGATGAAGATGTGGCAATAAAGATAACTATCACCCTTCCCACACATTCCAAACCAAGAAAAACACTTGTAGAAAAGGCACAAGTGCCAAGACACACACACACACACACACACACACAAAGACTTCTGTATACCTAGCTGCAAAATACTGTGGTGTCTCCCAATGCTTTGCAGTTAGGAGAAAGTAATCATTATATTTTATAACCTATTGAACTGCTTGGAACAGTACTCAAAAGAGTTGTAATAGTAACTCAAATTAGGGGGAAAGTAGATAGAAGTAAACACAAAGTTTGCTGAACTCTGCAGTTTAGTTGTCAGGATATATCCTTGACTTAAAAACTGCCAATTGGACTCTGCCACCTTTACAGATCTATTTGGTTATGAAGTGCCATTCATTCTACTTTTTAAATATTTGATACTAATGACATATGGGGTATTGCACAGAACCCAAGGAAAGTAGGCAGGGAGGGACCAACTGCAAATAATGGAAAATGGTTAAGGACAGCAAGGACAGCAAACAAAATGTGGTGCTACAGAATTCTTATACGATACCGTTTTGCAGGATCAGATCCAATGTTCAGCTACTTAAACACTCAGTTACCAGCAGTAATCCACGAAATAACTTCAGGAATTACACAAGCAGGGCATCACAGATACATCAAGTATCCATGTAGATATGATGGTTAACAACCACTGACAAACCTCTCTTCCATGAATCTGCCCAACTCTTTTAAAAAAGCCATCTCATATCTTTACAGCACAGAATTCCATTCATAACTTTGTTTCTTCTGCCCATTTGGAACCTACACAGTGAATCAACATTACTAGTTACTCCAGGTTTATTTTGAGGAAGTAACTTTCCACCACTGGGGATGGGGAAAAGAGACAGCAATAAAGTTACCATCACATGAACAAATTAAGCTGCCTTATACCAAGTCAGACCATGGCTACATGTATTGCCCACTTGGATTGGCAGGGGTTGTCCAGGGTCTAAGGTGGAGAGCTTCCACATTACCCTTCATTTTTATTTATGTTATTTATAGTACACCTTTCTCACTGGGATTCACGGCAGATTACACAGAGTGAGTCAATACAATCAACAGATGGGACAGTCAATAAACAATGCAATCAAATTAGGGTTGCAGGACTAACTAGTAGTCTAAAAACAGAACTGAAGCAAAGCATAAGTATTAACATGATGCATTATGTGATGCAAAATTCCATAATAGGATTCTAGTTTTACAAGTGTTGTTACAGTAGTCTAGACCACAGTTCCTAATAATTTTTCTAAGTAAATCTGTGAATCATTTAGTACCATGCAAGTCTATCGCCTGCACAGGAAAGCCCTCTTGAATAACTCAGTTTTGCATAGTTTGCAGAATGCCGCAATAGTGGGAGCCTTCCTGATCTCCACAGACAGGCCGTTCCACAAGGTGGGGGCTACAAGGGAAAAGGCACACGCATGGGCAGTTGTTGATTTTGTCCATTTGCTGGTTGGCACCTACAGAAGAAGACCCTGTTTATCTACTGACTGAATCTGGAGAGTTCTGGGTGCAAGCAGATGCTCTACCACTGAGCCACAGCCCTTCAAGTCTACTTTTTTAAAAACAGGGAAACACTATTGGGGAGAAGCAAACAGGAAATGATCCAGATCTTCTCCTTTTCTATTTACTGCCGTGTAGAATACCCTTCCTGCCAACCTAGCAGTTCGAAAGCAAGAAATTGCAAGTAGATAAATAGGTACCACTTCGGTGGAAAGGTAACAGCGTTCCGTGCGCCTTGGTGTTTGTCATGCCGGCCACATGACCACAGAAACGTCTTCGGACAGCGCTGGCTCTTCGGCTTTGAAACGGAGATGAGCACCGCAACCCTAGAGTCGGATTCGACTGGCTTTCGAGCAAGGGAAACCTTTAGAATACCCTTCCTCTAAAGGAGAGGCATGCACGGTTCTCCCCCGCCTCCATTTTACCCTCACAACTACCCAGTGGGGGGTGTGTGTGCGTGTCTATTAGAGAGGATCGCCCAGTGAGCTCCACACCAGATCAGGGGGACCCGGGTTTAGACCGAGGCTCCCGCTCCCTGCCCCTTCCCGTAGCCAGAGGCCGTGCTTGAGAGGAGCCTCTACCTCCCTTCGGGTCCGGGGGACTCAGCCCGCCCGGTCCTAAAGAACAGAGACCGTGGCTACTTACTGAACCCCCTCCCTCCCGGCGCCCCCTCGGCCGCGTTACCTGCGCCTCTCGCCATAGCGCCCCCTCGCCTGCGGGCCGCGCTCCGTGACGGCCTGCTTCTGCTCATCGCTCGTCGCTTCTGTCACTCGCAGGAGGACCCTCCAGCTGCCCGCTCAAGACCCAGGGCTCCCCAAACGCCGCCTGATTTCAAGACTGACTGAACGCTACCGTTCCCGAACACTGTGCGGGGATTCCTCGCTATCAAGAGCCCGTCTTCATTTTCGCCCCTCCGAAAACGCCGGGCGGATTCTCAAGAAGGGAGTGTCTTTAATCAGGCATCGTTGAAGACAGCCCGAATAGACATTTCCCTCCCCCCCCCCCACCCATCCGGGAGGGAGCCCTGCCAGCGGGCTAAAGGAGGAGTCGAGGGTTATGCATATGCAACAGATGAGCGGGGAGAGAAGCTGCTTATTGGTTACGCCGGCGTTGCACGCAGCCTGGGATGACAAAGAAAGCAAGCACCGCCTTTCAGCCTCGTTCCACACGGACGGAATAAGAAACGCAACTGAATACGGACGTGGTTAGCACACCTCTGTTTCCCAAAATAAACTGGGGGCCCACCCCAGTACCAATATACCCCCTCCATCCCCGCGCCTGCCACCGAGAGACCGCCCTGCAAGGTTGTCTCGGGCATCTTGCCCGATCCAAAATATTGTTCTCTTGCAAGACTTCGGCAGCTAATGTAGTTATAGATTCAGGTGGGTGGCCGTGTTGGTCAGAAGGAGCAGAACAAAGTTTGAATTAAATGGCACCTTTGAGACCAATATCTGGACTAAGAGTGGCCTCTCCTAACGGCTTACCCCCACGCTCCACCCTCTTTTCTTGTAACTAGCTTTTGAGATTTTATTCCAGTTTTGTCTGAATAGGTGTGTTTCGCACACAAAAGCTTACACTTTGAATAAAACTTTGTTGGTCTCAACACTTGGATCAAACTTTGTTATAGTGTAGTTATAGTCTGCCTTTCTCAAAGCAGATTATAGAATCAGAAAAGAATGCGAAAGAGGTCAGTATGTAATATAGACATAAACAATGCAACAAAACTGGATTACAGACGTAAACATCACCCAAGAACAGTATAATACACCCAGTAAACAATGCGATTTTCTAAAAATGCCAGTCCCCAGAAACATGAAAATTACAACCCTGTTCCCTTTATTAAAAATGCCCTTTTGAATAATTCTACTAATGGCTAATGAAAATCTTCATGTTTCAAGTCTGATTCTGTATCAACCTACCTGACAGAACAAAGTTTGAGTCCAGTGGCACCTTTAAGACAAACAAAGTTTAATTCTGTGTCCAAAAGCTTATACCCAAAATTAAACTTTGTTGGTGGTCTTAAAGGTGCCACTGGACTGAAACTTTGTTCTTTTGCTTCAGACCAACAAGGCTACCCACCTGAATCTACCTCACAGAGTTATTGAGATGATGGAGGGGTTTGTGATCATGTACACAACCCTGAGCTCCATGGAGGAAGGTATTACAAAGTGTTAGTATATGTTTATAGATTTTTTTGAATACACAGACTGTTGTCTATCTGAGGCCTGGGTAAATATGGGTCAGATTTGGTACCCTGTTTCCCAGAAACGGAATTAAGCAGAGGACATTCAAGTATTCAGTGTCATTTAGAATAAAGCAGGATAGCAAAAAAGAAAGCAAATGCAAAACTAAGCAGTTGGGGCAGCAGAATATTGTATATGTCCAGAAGGCTGGTGTACAATCTAGTCCTATGTAAAGATGGGGAGGGGAAAGTGTTGCTGGCTCAGGGGGGATAAAAGGGAGGATATAAAATACCCTTTGCCTCTCTGACAAGAAGGGGGTATGGGTATGTGTTACCTGGTCTGAGATTCCTTGAAGAGCCTGGAGCAGAGAGGGACTTTGAGGAAGGTAGCACCGTCCTTTTTCTGCATTCAGATTGCTGGGCAAGAGAGCCCTTTTTATATTATTGGTTCTCTGGACTGTTGCATTAGAATTTGGGGCTAGAAAAATCCAGTTTTTAGTACAGTTACCAGGGGCTGCTGATAGGCCAGTTGGGTGTGGAGAGGAATTTGAGTGGAAACAAAGAATTAGCATGGGTTGGGATTGGTTTATTGTCTTGCTTCTTTGGGTGACTCAGGATACCTGTTTTCATTTTAGTTTAAACTGATCCATTTAAATCTCTGGGGAGGGGAGAGGGGAGAGCAGCATTCACTGGGGGGGGGGGAAAGTAATTACCAGTCATTCAAGAGAGGCTGTTGACAATGGTGGCCCCAGGCACTCCAGAGCTTGGTTAGTTTATCATTTCTATGTAAGGTATGGGCTACTCTTAACTCTTTAATGAGGGAGGAACCTACTGGCATGAGGCTGAAGTTGGTTCCTTATTCCCAGTTCCTTATTCATCCCTTATTCGTGTCTTATTCATTAATTCATCCAAAAACACTGAGGAGGGAAGCTCTGAACACCAAAATAAGATTTTGTGCCCCGAGGACAATCACACAGGCAGATAACTGGGGACAAGCTGTACCCCAAAACAATCTTTGGACCACCCCAAAGGACTCATCCCCCACGCTCTGGAGACTGTCCCCTGCAAGATGACATACAGTAATGCCCAGTCCAAACACCGGTTCCGGAGCCACAGGCTTCCATTTCAGGTTCACGCAAGAACCCCGTATTTGAAAAAAAGATTTGAATATGGAACTGGTATGACTGTTTGTCCCCTACATCCCGGAATAAAGTTTGGACAGCCACATGTCATACACCTCCATGTTCAGTGAACTATCCCCTTCAAGGAGACATATGCTGTGTCCTGGTCCAAAGCGTGGTTCTTGTGCCAGCTGCTCCAAAGTGAGGTGTCCCCAGGGAAGTCACACAGGCAGACAGTGGGGCCTGGCTGCAGCCCAAATCAATCTTGTATTTGAAAAAAAGATAACATCCCCACACTCTGGAGACTGTCCCCTGCAAGATGACATACAGTGATACCTAGTCCAAACACTGGTTCTGGTGCCACGAGCTTCTATTCGGAGTGCTACCCAAAGGCCTGAATTTCAAAGAAGATTTGAATAAGGAAGTATCCCCTGTACCCAAAATAAAGATTGAACCGCCACATGTCATACGCTCCCATGTTCAGCGGACTCCCACCTTTGAGGTAACATATGCCGTGTACTGGTCCAAAACGTAGCTCTTGTGCCAGCTGCTCCAAAGTGTAGTGTCCCAGGAAAATCACACAGGCAGACACTGGGGCCAAGCTGAACCCGAAAACAATCTTTGGACCACCCAAACTGACACAACCCTGGAAGATGACATACAGTGATACTTGGTCCAAACACTGGTTCCAGCAACATGAGCTTCTATTTGGAATGCATCCCAAGGGCTGCATTTCAAAGAAGATTTGAATACGGAAGTGCCCCCTGCACCTAAAATGAGATTTATACATACACATTTCATAAACCCACATGTTCACCAGACTTTCCCCTAATAATCCTAATGCTAACCCTAATAACCTTAACCCTAATAATCCTAATCTTAACCCTAGTAACCCTAACCGTAACAACCCTACCCCAATAACCCTAACCCTAATAACCCTAGCCCTAACAATCCTAATCCTAACCCTAAACCTAGTAACCCTAAACCTAATAACTTTAACCCTAACCCCAATAACCCTAACAATCCTAACCCTAACCCTAAAAACACTAACCCTTATAACCTTAACCCTAACCCTAATAATCGTAATAACCCTAATCCTAACCCTAAACCTAATAATCCTAACCCTAACCATCCTAACCCTAAAAACCCTAACCCTAGTAACCATAAACCTAACAACCCTAACCCTAAGAACCCTAACTCTAATAACCCTAACCCTAAACTTAATAATCCTAACCCTAGTAACCATAACTCTAACAACACTAACCCTGATCCTAAAAATCCTAACTCTAACCCTAGTAATCCTAACCCTAATAACCCTAACCCTAATAACCCTAACCCAAACTCTAATTACCCTAACCCTAATCATCCTAACCCTACCAACCCTAACTCTAACCCTAATAATCCCAACCCTAACTCTAGCAACCCTTACGCTAACCGTAATAACCCTAACCCTAACAACCCTAACCATAACCCAAATAACCCTATCCCTAACCATAAAAACCCTAACCCTAGTAACCCTAACAGCCCTAACCTTTACCCTCATATAATAACCCTAACCCTAATAATCCTAACCCTAATATCCCTGACCCTAAACCTAGTAACCCTAAATCTAATAACTTTAACCCTAACCCCAATAACCCTAATCCTAACTCTAATAATCCTAACCCTAATAACCCTAACCCTAATTGTAATAACCCTAACATTAATAAACCTATCTTTACATCAGTAACCCTAACCCTAATAACCCTAACCCTAATAACCCAAACCCTAGTAACCTTAACCCTAATAACACTAACACTAATAATCCTAACCCTAATAAACCTAACACTAACCATAATAACCCTTACTCTAATAACACTAACACTAATAATCCAAACCCTAACCCTAGTAACCCCAACCCTAACCCTAATAACACTAACCCTAACAATCCTTTGAGGTCCCCCGTGGAGTGCGCTGGGAGGCTGAAATGTTCTCCTACAGGTTTCTCTGTTTTGTGATTCTTGATGTCAGATTTGTGTCCATCTATCCTTTAGTGTAGGGTTTGACCTGTTTCTCCTATATAGAGAATTGAAGGGCATTGTTGACATGAGATGACAAATACAATGTTAGAAGATGAGCAGGTGAATAAGCCTGAGGTGGTGTAGTTGATGTTGTTAGGTCCAGTGATTGTGTTGTCTGGGTGTATGCGGCAGGAAAGGTGGCACCAGGATGTGTTGCAATCTCTGATACCAGTCAACATGTTTAAATTAGATGCTGTATTATTTTGAGTAGTTTGAGATTGGGGGGCTGTCTATGCACTGGAAAAAGCTCCCCCTTTTCCTTATTCAAATTTTCTGGGAGGAACTCCAAATAGATCATGTCTTCTTGCAGGGGATATGTCAGTTGGGGTGGTCCAAAGATTGTTTTCGGGTGCAGCCTCGCTCCAGTGTCTGCCTGTGTGACTGCCCTGGGAGCACCACACTTTGGAGCAGCTGGCAGAAGAACCACCCTTTGGACCGGGACACAGCATATGTCCCCTCGAAGGGGGGAGTTCGTTGAACATGGGGGTGTATTAAGTTTGGGTATCCAAATCTTATTTTGGGGTTCAGAGCTTTCAAACTTTCCTCAGTGTTTTTGGATGAATTCATGAATAAGAC